AGAGAGAGAGAGAGAGAGAGAGAGGTGTGTGTGTGTGGCAGCCGGGGGGGGGGTCGACCCTCCCCCAACCAACCAACCAACCAATCAATCAATCAATCAATCAATCAATCAAAAAAAAAAAATCAATCCATTAATCAACCAATCAATCAATCAATCAATCAATCAATCAATCAATCATCAACCAATCAATCAATCAATCAATCAATCAGTCAACCAATCATCAATCAATCAATCAATCAATCAACCAATCAATCAATCAATCAATCCATCATTAAAAAAAACAATCAATAAATGAATATTTATTTTTTTTCAATTTTTTTTTTTTTTTTGCTACCTATAAAAATCGACCCCCCCAAATTTTTGATTTTTTTTTTTTTTTAATGCAGGCCGATAGTGGCCGACGTGCGCAGGCCGATCGCGCGCGTCGATTTTGAGCACGCGCCCCCGCCTGGGCGGGGCGCGGCCGCGCGCAAACTCTGCCGCGGACTGGGATTCTGCGGCCGCGGCCTAGGGTGCCACGTAGGGCGTGGGCGAACCTGACAGGTCTGGGAGGACTAAGCGGGGTGACGACTTCGTGGGTTGGTGCGCGACGACGGACTGTCCGCATCGGAGAGAGAGAGAGAAAGGAAGAGCGAGCTGAGGTTGATGGACGTGGATTTGCAGTTTTCTTTATCTTCTCCCCCTCCTTGCTTTTGTATATAAATTTTGATCTCGGCTCAGGGCGATTCGCCCGTTTTCTTTTGTTTTCGGAATCTTTGGTTTCAGCCCACACTCGTTTTTTGCGATTGATCTCGATTTCGTTTGTTGCGTGTTTTGTCGAATGAATGGATGAATGTCATATCCTTGCCTTTGCTTGTCGTTTTCATACACTCAAGAACGATTGCGGGTGGGATCACGGAGTGATTATTGGGTAGTTGTTTGTCCAAAAATAAGCGAATACCTCGCGGGGATGCGTGTAAGCGCGATCTGATCTGCGCAGCCTACACGTATCCACGCGCGCCGATTCGTAACCACCGACGGACTTGACACCTTCGATATCGGGTAGGCGGGAAGAATTCTTCCCCTACGCACCTAAACAGAAGGGAGTTCCGATATCACCTCGGAAAATCCCCCTTGTCGGTTAGATGCATGCGGAAGAATTCCATCACACCGCGATGACAAGATGACGTACTCGAGGGACTCAGATTTGTCGTGGGATCCGGAGTATTTCGACCCTTGGGTGAGAGAGTGTCTCAGACAGAGACGCCCGGAATTCCTCTGCCTAACCGAGAATCGATTGTGCCCCAAGGAGTTTCACTGTGCCCTTCCGTCTCCGCCTCCCGTATCACCAACTCACGGTGGTACCGTGGAATTCCACCGCTCCGTACTGGCCCCCACGCCTTGCGGAAATTGCTGGCGACGCAGAAACCGACGAGCCCCTGAAACCAGAGGGCCTAACCAAAACGCGCGACAACAGACGCCACGTGGCTGCACCCAAAGAACTGGCCCATCGGAATCGCGACCATCCCGGACGGCCCTCTCCTCGAACCACCGCCACCAAGACAGGCGGATCGGACGGCCTTGAAAGCACCGCGCATGTCATTTGCATTATGCTGCATGATATAGAACGCCAGCAGACCGGAAGAAACTCGCCCTTAGCCCTATTGCACCCGTGCCCCTGAAACCCTGCCACATGAGATCTCAGTTCTGACCTGGGACTCCACCCCCACTTTCCCAAAAATCCTTGGCACACCCCTTTTCGCACTTCCAGGCCCACATCCCACTCCGATCAGGAAGTCGCGCTGGGCGTGAGGTTGGGGCGTCACAGCGAGGCTTCTATTTTCAAGAGTTTTAGGAGTCTGACAGCTCTAGAAGCACTCACGAATTTTTGTGAGTCTACCGTAGTGGAGCGAGGCCCCAGATGCAGCCAGGTTCGAGCGTATTTGCAAGAGAAAAGAATCAGTCATTAATTTGGGTCGTATACTCACACTACTGTAAGCGCGACTTATTCAACTGAGTTCTGAACTTGATTGCGGTCAGATGCATCGAGGTCCGAACATATTTGCAGTCATATATATTTAGGAAAAAAGTGCTCCTGTGAGTATGAGGCTTGGACCCCACTGGGCGGCGGCTGGAAAAGGAAAGTGGCCGCAAAACGCTGGCCAACTTCGGTGGAAACGTTAAGACCACACCGCCAACTTCTGGCGGTGTTTTGGAAACGGCCTCGCTTGCCGTTTTAGGAAACCCGAGAGGGGCCCCTCCCAAAAAGGAAAGCACGGACGGCCTGCATGGACCAGTGGACATGCTAGTTGTCCGGGTTGGCTTGTCCATGTGTGGTGGTGCATGCCGTCCACGGCACCGTGCGACGGATTTTGGAGTCCTGGTGCGGCATCCCAGGCAGACAGGCGACGAAAGCAGCAACGACAATTTTTTTGGGACGTGCCGTTGAAGGTCACCCGGGGAGTTCAAAATCCTGGGGTCCGCATGGGAGATACTCGTGCATATCCAGCCTTCACGCAGTATTGTCGTGTGGGCGGCTGTGCAAGGGTTGGTATGCAGCCATCACTTGCCGCTCTGTCAGTGGACGTGTTGGACGTTTTAGTGGACGGAGGCTATGGACGCGTCAGGATGTGGGATGAATCGTCAGGAAAGCGGGGATGCAATGTGCATGCTGCTTTTCGTCCTCTTCCAGTGGGTGAACAGACGAAACTTGGTTTGGTGGCGGTGGAGGAAGCAGTACCGTTGATGCCTTTCGGCCACCGAAATGTCTCCGCCGCGGTGACACTACTGGCGGGGGGTTTGTTGCACGGTTTTGCTCTTGGTTTGGTGGCGGTGGAGGAGATGGGGAGGACAATGGACCGCATACGTCATCTATGGGTGTTGGAGCGTAGCGGCGATCTTTGGAAGGATCTCCAACGAGTGGGGGTTGAGCACGACAAGGTTTTCCGTCGGTTTTGCACACTCCCACGCCCCTTGTTCTTTGAAATTCTTGCTCGCATCAGCCCGCATATCCTGCGGCCGCCCACGAACTTCAGATTGCCAATACCCGTTGGACAAAAGTTTGCATGCGCTCTGATGAGATGGGCTACTGGTGGTTATCATAGGCAGTCCTCCCACAGTTTGGGCATCGGCCTTACAAGTGGTTTGCGCAGCAACGAGGAAGTGGCCGACGCGATCATCAGGGAGTACGACCATCTGCTACAGTTCCCTACAGGGCAACGGTTGGAGGACATGCATAATGGCTTCGAGAGAAAAAGGGTTCCTCGGGTGTGTGGGCGCGATAGATTGCACGCATTTGTATATTGGCAAACCGAAGGGAGTGCGATCGGAGTGCTATTACCACCACACTAGGAGGTTCTCGATTGTGGCGCAAGTCGTATGCGACCACAAGTGTCGGATTGTGAGTGCTTTTGTGGGTTGTTCAGGGCATGTGCATGATTCAAGAGCTCTGCGTATCTCGCCACTATTCGTAAATGCTACGGAAGGTAGAGGAGTGTTGGCTGAAGGAGGTGTCGTGTTGCACGACGGTAGACATGTTGGCCATTATTTGCTGTGTGATCAAGGGTACCCTCTTCTTCCATGGCTCATGACTCCTTTTGGCCGGTGTGCTGTGACGCCGACGGATCGGGCGTTCGATTTGAGCCACAGTGCAGCGAGGTCGTGCATTGAGCAGGCCTTCGGTCGTTTGAAGGCGGTTTGGAGGAACTTCATTCGAAGAACATTTGCAACCTGAAGACCGTATGCAAAGAATTCATGCTCGTCTGCATTCTTCACAACCTCATGATCGAGCACAACGTGCACATCGACCCGACGTTGATGGAAGACAGCAGTGACAGTGATGGAGACGACAACCAACGCAGGAACCGGTGCCGATGTCGGTGCCGATGTCAGCGCCGACGTCGATTCAACCGTCATCTTCCGAACTTGAACATCGAGGTGTTGACGGAGGATGACCCCACTTATGGGGGGGGACTCGCGCACCACATCGGGGTCAACCTGGTGGAGCACGTGCGCCACCACGTGGCAGTCCATGGGGCTCCTCTGCCATGCCCATGGTGGTAGTGCTCTTCTTTCGTTTTTGTGTGGTTAAAGTCCTCGACACACAAATTATTGAACAACAAACTCACTTCGAATAACGAATGACTGACGTAATGAAATTGCATTCAACATCCCCCCGACCCTATCCGAGTGACACATTCATTTCCTATGAGAGAACAGTTCGGTTGATGAATTTGGGTTTGATAAACGATACATTGCATGTCCATATATGACGCCGGATCGCACCACTCCACCCTCAATAACATCACACCCCGAATTTGAAAAAACGTGACAAAAAGAAAAGTTCAAAAGAAATCGCCTGCACCACCTTTATTAGATCTAAAGGATTGTGAATACTATGCTATATCAGCTATTCCGGCTTCCTAATCCGAGAGCAACTCCTAGCCCTCCCTATACTGGGACACTACTACTCAAAGACAGTACCAACCAAAACAACATCGACCATAGCTGACCTCTTCTCGCCCCCGAGACTATCCCCGGCCCCAGAGGGTGTCAAGGCGGCCCCCCCAATTCACCACTAGACCTGAAAAACCAAGACAAAAAAAAAAAGAAAACAAAAAAACAAAGTGCGGCAATCTCAAACAAACACAAAATAAATCCGTACAAACAGATCACTCGATTTGAACATAGAATGAGTACAGAGTTTGACGATACCACAAAAAGGCATCCGTTGCAAGGCTCGAATAACGTTCGGATGACCATTCATCACTTCCTCCATTGGAAGTATTCAGTCATCGTCATCATCACTATCATTATCATCACCATCATCATCATCATCATCATCATCATCATCATCATCATCATCATCGTCATCATCATTAACATTACCATCATCATCATCACCATCATCTTCATCATCATTATCATCATCATCATCATCATCATCATCATCTTCATCATCATCTTAATTGTGGCCGTCGTCGCCACCGTGAAGATGGGATTCACCATCATCACAGTTGTCATCATCGCTGGCATGTACCCGCATATGAACATCCAAAACACGACCGTCGTCGTGAACATCATCATCATCTTGAAGGCGATGATGAAGGAACAACTATTTCTCACGCTTTCCAAGTACTCTCTCTCTCTCTCTCTCTCTCTCTCTCTCTCTCTCTCTCTCTCTCTCTCTCTCTCTCTCTCTCTCTCTCT